AAAAAAAAAAAAAAAAAAAAAAAAAAAAAATTGAGAAGTCAGTTACAATTTCTTTACTCACTAGTTACATTACTTTGTAAAGGAAAAAAAAAAAAGGAAAAAACACATTATTTATACGATCCTTGACCTTCGAAGATTTGGAGCCAATAAATTTCTAGAAATACGAATCGTTAAAGATATCTTCGATCAAATCCCTGCGTGTGTAAAATACGTAAGGAACTTACGCAACAACAATATGGCGTTGGAGCATTATAGTGATGTCTAGTGTGCTAATGTGGTTGTGTCTTGTCTGTTGTGTCGTCAGCAAGAGCACGCAGGCTTGAATCCTACCGAGTCCATGACACGTGCATTGATTAGTGATGATAATATCGCCCGCCAGACTGCCCTTGGTCCTGTCCAACTGGGGTACGTACTCCATCACTAGTAAATCCTTCCCATAACTAAATTTGGCCGTCTTTTTCACTCTTGCGTGTACATGCGTAAAAATTACGAGAATCATGCTCAGATATCCAGTTTCTGGAAGATCGTAAGATTTTTTTAATAAGTGATGTACAATTTTATAGCTTTTTAATGATAATTTCATTCTCTTTTCATCGAACACTTACTTGCTCGAACAAGTATACATGTGTGTGTATGTGCTTATTAGACTTCACGATTGTTTCAACAGATCGAATAATCTTTTTCTCTTTCTTTTTTTTTTTTTTTTAAGATTTGAGAATGAGAAATTACATGCATTTACTCTATCGATACATGGCGAAGTATTTCAGCCATTGCTGCTGTAAAAATTCATACATGAGACTTCACCATTTTTTTTTTTTTCCTTTGATACGACGCATGCGAAATATTTTAGATGAAGCAACTTTAATAAATTTTCGTCCAATTTTTTTTCTATTTATCGTGTAAACTTCCATGATCTGATTAAGCAATTCTATCAATTTCATCAGTTTGATGCATGTTATTTTATGTCAGCGATATGTACACACATCTAACCATATTAAAATTTGATACGCAGTCTAAAGCTAATTCAATTAATACG